GCTATGAGCTTTGTTTGAGACAGTAAAATTCCAAGCACATGGCGGAAAGTATAAAAGACTCCTGAAACATCTCCATGTTGTCTCTTTCCTGCTCTGATTCTCTGGACTGTAGATTTACAACTAAAATGAGGATATTGGACTATTGACTGAGGAGCTTCCAATCTTTTGGAAGTTACCAGAGACTTTACAAGCCAGCATCACTGCTACCAACCTGAGATAAGAACTTTGCAATGATTATATCTATATGAACTATTAGCCATTCTTAATTCTCTTCTTTCTTTATTAATAAACCTTTAGATTTTTGTTACTAAAGGATTGGCAGCAGCGTGATTAGTGGGTAAGATTTGAGTTATATATTGACCTGGCTGTGTGGCTGATCTCTTGAGATCAGAAGAACCCTTTTTTTATTAAATTGGTTTTCAATAACCACTCATCATAAAGTCTAGTGTCAGGGTGGTAAAATACATCCTGGAATGCCTAAGGAGACTGCATTTTTTGGCTTCTTGTTAACCAGTGTGGTGAGGCAGAAGCTTACTTTTGTTACTGGCTTGGGGCAATCTAATGGTAGAATAACCACCAGATTGGGGTGAGTCTGCGCTATTTCTCAGCCGTTTGTCCTGAATCTGCCATCCTCAGCTGTGACCCACTGAGGCACGGTGACACCTACCTTTCTGGAAGATGCCCTCCAGCCCACCTTTCAGGTTGTGATGTATTACTATGTGTATTACAGTGGTGCCAGGGTGAGGCACCACTGGGCTGGGCGCTGATCAAGCATAAAATAAAAAGGCAGGTGCTGCACATAACAGCTTTTATGCTAACTCACATACTAGAGAGGGGCTTATGCTGCTCCTTTTCAGAGCAGCACTAAGGCACTCCCCTTTCAAGCATGTCCTTCCTCCTCTCTACAAGCCTAGCCCAGCTATTCTGCACTGAGCAAGATGGCTCAGGGATTGGTGGCACGGCCAGCACCCTTCCCTTCCAATGCAGCTCTTAGGAGTAAGAAGTTGATTTTAGTCCGAGTTTGTATTGCTGCACCCCATCTCTCTCGACTGAGAAGTTCCTTTGAATGGTAGAGAACCCTCCAAGCTTGTTTGTTAGCTACACATTTACCATGCAGTTTTTATGAATGAGTTGCCTGCAGTTTAAAACTGTGGCAGTATTGGGATGCATGTGGGGGATGGTAGGCAAAGGGGGAAGTATTACACTCAAGATAATCTCATCTATTCTCATCTCATAGAAACTAGGCACCATATACATTTAGAAACCTAAACGGGTTTTGGTCATGGAAACACTACTGTTCATTTTATTTTGTCAGAATAGAGCTGGCCCAAACTCCCCCTTTTTGATGGGTCTCTCTATCCATTTCCTTTTGTGACTATGTAGTTGTACTTAATTCTGCAGGAGCTTTGGCACAATGTAAGAGGGTTTGTGCTGAGAAGCAAAGGCAAACCCTTAGGAACTAGAAGCATTTATTTTTAAGAAGCTTAAAACAAGAACTTGCCCTAGAAAAGGTCAAAAGTGTAAGGCTGAAACATCCTGAAATTTAAAGGCTTCTATAAGAGGGAGCAGACACTCATGTTACGGCTTTTATGGTAGAAAACTGCGGCATGACAGGAAATGAAAGGAGGGTGGGGTGAAGCAGTTAATTGTTTTTTTTAAAAAAACATTGATGGAATAGGGAGAACACTATTTAAAGGCTGTAATCTCTATAGAAGGAATAATTACTTAAAAACAGAAAGGATAAAGAGGGCTGAAAGAAGGAAGATAACTGAATCAGGTGACCTGAAGGGTGAAAGGTCAAACCTTGGGGAGTTATAAAAATATTTTTTTTCATTCAAAAGACAAGGAAAGGTTAGCTATTTAGTTAGTGGTGCAAGGAGTATTTTTGTGGAAAAGTTATAGAATATTTATCAATGTTTGTGGTGTTTTATGTTCTCAGTTTTTATTTCTTTACTTGTTTTAGATTTATTGTCTGCTTTTATATATGAATAGCCAATTCTTGTATATCTGAATCGTATCACTGCTGAAGTCAGTTGGGGGGGGGGATTAGCTAATAAGAATAGGTGAGAATCTGAACATGATGTATACTTGTTAGCTTAATCCTGTAATGCCCAATGGTATTTGCAAAAGGGCTCCCCGGTTGGGGTTTTTTTTGTTTTTTGTTTTGGTTTTTTTCTGTGTGTTAGAATAAATGTAATTGGAAGCACAACACTAAACTAAAAGTTTAGGAAATGATGCCTTAATACTTACTTCTGTATAATACAATCACACACCAACACAACTTAATATTCTATTTATGGAGAAACTCATTGCTGAAACGTGGAAACATTCTTGTTTATCTTACTATAGTATTGAAAAAGCATAAAAATAAGGCAAAGGATGAAAATCACCCTATACAGAGGGCCAATAAAGAGCTTATGCACTACGTAAGCTCTCTAGGTAGAACTGAAGTGGTCTATCCTTATCCTTGCCTTCTACATAAGAGGTGAATTTCACCAAGTGGCAGACTTGTGTGAAATGCTGCATGTGTGTTTAGACTGTGATACACACCAGGGACAGACCGTGGGAACTTTATACTCCAGTTTTTCAGCTTATTTAGAGACTTGTTTGGTGGAAACCTCTTAAAATGCTGGCAATTATGGTAGCAGCCACCCATGCAGGCATCTGAGCTCTGCTTCTCCTGTGGCAGAAGGTGGTGGTGGCGGCGGCAGCCCAATGATTCTTATCTCCCTGTCTTTTAGCTGACAATTTAGACTGGATCATTCTTAACAAAGGTTAGGAGTGGAGCTGGGAGAAAAAACTATTTATCTGAAAAAAATGCACTTTCAGTAGAAACTATTTGTGAATTTGCCCTGATTAGTTTGAGCTTGGAAAAAGACTTTGGGGCCAGCTTCAAAAAAGACAGAGAGAGGGTCCTTTTATAATGTTTAGTCCCAGGCTTAGGGCACTATCTTGGGCTGTAGGAAACCTAGGATTGAAATCCACCCCCTCTGGAGCTGGGACTTTAACTCAGTTCTCTCTCCTCCTGGATGAGTATCCTAGCCACTAGGCTCTTGGTTATTCTGGGGTGGGTTGCTCTCAATTTCTTCAGTTGAAACTGTTCTACTTTGTATAAGCACTTTTTGGAGCAGGTACTTGAAGTCAGGTCTAGCCCCTGCTAGCTGAGTGCCTAAACCAACAGGCTATAGGCTAGTCTGCACTCAAGCTCTTCTGTTGAAACGGTCCCACTTTGTATAAATACATAGCTATTAATTGGGCCAAAGAGAGAGAAATGACTCTATAGCCTGGTGATTAAGTCACTTAGGGTGTAAGAGATGTGGATTCAAATCCTCTCTTGCCTGTTTCAGAGAAGGGATTTAAATCCATATCTCATAGATCAATGCTTAAATCACCAGGCTGTAGGGTCATTTCTCTCTCTTTAGCCCAATTAATTTTTCAGTATTGTTCAAAGTGGAAGCACTTCAGCAGAAGAGCTTCAGAGTAACTCAGCCCCAAATAGCCTCATGGTTAGGATGTTCCCCTGAGAAGGGGAGACCTAAATTCAAATCCTGGCTCGCCCACATCCCAGTTAATTGCCCTACCCACTGGGTTAAAAGACATGTCCAGCTGATGCTGGCCATTTAAAAGTGGCCCAAATGAAACATTTTGTAGGACCTGAAACAGACTTTTCCCATTTGGTGACACATTCTGAACATTTTCAGGGCTGAACTAACGGATTGATTTTTTTTTTTTTTAAATTTGCTGGCTGAAGGGAAAAATCAAGTATTTGCCAAGCTATATATGGGATCATTTAAAAGTTGAGTGGGTCGTCCTGACCCTACAACACATGCATGGCTTGGCAGCAAATTAAAAGCAGGGTGTGGTTATTTAGAGCTGTCCAAGTGTCATCTATGAAAGAAGGTAGGGGCCTTTACTTTGGGAACACTATCAAACTAAGGAAAACAAGGTCTCAGTGAACTCAGGACTTTAAGGCCAGAAGGGACCATCATGATCCTCTAGTCTGACCTCCTGCATATTGCAGGCAACAGAACCTCAACTACCTACTCCTGTAATAAGCCTATAACCTCCAGCTGAGTTACTGACTCCTCAAATCTTGATTTAAAGGCTTCAAGTTACAGAGACTCTGCCATTTACATTAGCACAAACCAGCAAGTGTTCCTGGTGCCCCATGCTATAGAGGAAGGCAATCCAGCCCTCTCTTCCTCCCGTCCAATCTCTGCTAATCAGACCTGAGCGAAAATTCCTTCCTGACCTCAAATATGGTGATCACTTAGACCAGGGATTGGGAACCTTTGGCGCATCAGGGAAATCCGCTAGCAGGCCGGGACGGTTTGTTTACCTGCAGCATCCGCAGGTTCGGCTGATCGCAGCTCCCACTGGCCTCAGTTCGCCATTTCAGGCCGATGGGAGCTGCGGTAACCAACGTGGGCCAAGGGATGTGATCAAATCACTTGGTTTCATTGTCTCCTAAGCCTGATGGATAAAAATGTAGTCTCTCTCTGTTCTTTATAACCCCAAAGGGATGTCTTTGCCTTAAAACTCCAGGAGGCCTCTGGGGATTCAGTCCCTCTTATACCCCAAAGAGACGGTAGTCATGTTAAGTTTCTGTCTTTTGGGGATAAAATCAGGATAACCCCTGCTGGTTTAGCTGGATATCTTTGGTTACTGCTAATACGTAAACTGAGATAAACCCACATTCCTTTGTCTAGGACAGACTTGTTTATCATCTTTATCTAAACTAGGCTGTCTAGATTTTAACACGTTCTGGTAACATCCTTCAGAGAGAATTTATAACTTCACAATGATATTAATAATCAGCATATTTCATACAGTACCTCATAGGAATATTTTATGGAAATATTATTCAATAGTGTGTAAGGAGTGAATACAAGGGTGTCTAGGGTCACAGAGATCATGTGAGCACAACTGCCTTGTAGTCACACTGCCTTCCTGCCAGTGATGCCCTCAACACACCTCCTTTCCCAGGGGCCAGGAGGAGGATGACAAAGGAACCCAGCCAACCAGAGGGTCCCCCAGGACAACAGAATCCCCAGGTAGCTGATTATGCAGCTTTCCAGCTGGTTTACTCTGCCACACTGGGTGGTGGAATTCTGAACCGAATTGGCAGCTACCAGGCAGCATTCTTAGAAATTAATATGTGCAATGCACTGGATGGAACAAATGTAACGTAAGTGTATTTGTGTATGTTTAAGTCTGCCCAAACTAGTTGGTTTTGAGTCTGCTAAACAAAACCTGAATATTGGGAATTTGGTTTGGAAGATCACATTTTAAATATTTGTGGTATAATGTGACAACAAGAAAAAAGGCTGGCTAGGGTGTTAGCTGGGACTTGAGGGACTGCTGTTCAAGTCCCTGTCCTGCCACAGACTTACTGTGTGACCATGGGCAGTCACTTAAGCCTTCCTGTGCCTCAGTTTTCCATCTGTAAAATGGATCTAATGGTACTTCCTTACATCAGAGATGTGTTGTAAGGATGAATATATTAAAGATTACAATGCACCCAGATACAACAATAGTGGGAGCCATATAAATACTTAAGATAGTTAGAATGCCAACATATCTTGCTGCTCAAAAGAAGCCTGTGATTCTGGAGCATATCATGAGGAGGAAGAGTTAACCAGCCACGTCTACAGCTGTCCCAAAATAAATCATTTCCAGATTATGAGAGGACCACTGATATAGAAAAAGGAAAGTTACATTATGTAGTCAAGAAAAGTGTTTATATTAAGGAATTCAATCCAAGAAGTTTTGGGAGGAATTGAGTTGACAGGAGAATGTACAGCTACTATCTATGGCCTTACGCTGAGATACTCATAGCCACATTGTGTTGATATTCCTGAAGTGCCATTGCTAGGACTTTCTACCATCCACACGTTCAGCCCTGTACAGAATATATGTTTAGTTTTATAAGCTTGCACAGCAATTTTCAAAAATTAAATGTCCGATATAAAGCATACATGTATGACAATATCATCAATGAAAGCAGAGCACATGTCAGACAGAGAGCAACATTTGACTGTCTCTTTCCATTCTTAGGAATACCTCGACAAGTATTACACACAGAAAGGAGGACACCAGGTTGGGGCAATGGTAACAGATGACAGTTCCCATGGCAAGGAGGATTAAAGGAATGCAAGTATTCTTTGATCTCCAGGTCACTGGGAAACTGGACTACAGCTGGGGCCCTACCAAACTCATGGCCGTGAAACACGTCACTACCAAATTCATGGCCGTGAAACACGTCATGGACCATGAAATCTCGTCTCCCCCGTGAAATCTGGTCTTTTGTGTACTTTTACCCTATCTGACACAGATTTCCCAGGGTAGAGCACCATTTCTCAAACTGGGGGTCCTGACCCAAAAGGGGGTTGTGTGTGTGTGGGGGGGGGTAGTGCTGTGGTATTGCCACCCGTACTTCTGCTCTGCCTTCAGAGCTGGGCGGCCAGAGAGCGGCAGCTGCTGGCTGGGCACCCAGTTTTGAAGGCAGCACCACCAACGCAGTGCAGAAGTAAGGGTGGCAACACCATACCAGGCCACCCTTACTTCTGCGCCGCTGCCTTCAGAGCCGGACTCCTGGCTAGCAGCTGCCGCTCTCTGGCTGCCCAGTTCTGCCAGCAGCAGAGCAGAAGTAAGGGTGGCAATGCCATGACCCCTACAATGACCTTGTGACCCCCGCCACTACGCATTTTGGGGTCAAAACCCTACAGTTACAACACCATCAAATTTCAGATTTAAATATCTGAAATCATGAAATCTATGATTTTTGAAATCCTATGACTGTGAAATTGACCAAAAGGGACCGTAAATTTGGTAAAGCCCTAACTGTAGCAATATGAGTATAATAAAGAGGCCACACGGTGGTGTCCTTGATATAGCAAACTACCACCTGTCTCCAGGACAGCCCAAATGGAAAAAAAAATACATTCTCATAGAGGTAATGAGATTAAGACTTTCCTGGGAATTTTTAAATTAACTAAAGGTATTTTAAAATCTCTGATCAAAATTTTCCTCTTCCGTCTTTACTTCAGCTCTCACCTCTATTGTGTATTCTGCATACATAACTCACATTGCTGTCTGTAGTATTTTGCCATAGGGGAGGAGTATTTAGTATCAAGGAAGAATATATAATAAAGATGCACTGTACAGATCCAATTGCAAGATTCTTTTTACTGTGTTTTAATGACAGGGTGACTGAGAAGCAAGCACACACCTTGTGTACACATTTTGCAAACTATAAAAATCATGTTCTAAACGTGCAGCCTAAATCCACAAAGTGAGATGATTTTTGCATGTCCTGGCGGCTTTTTAAGGTTATTCCATTTTGTTTTACAATTCTGACCTCACACGTCCATGACTTGCAAGTTTTCGGGACAAACCTACAACCCAAGTTGCTATTATACACTGCAGCCAGTAGGTGCCAGCAACCACACACTAAAAGAGGTTCCAAAGAAAATTTGATTATATACCATAAGCAGTTAGCAGATGAGCTAGATTTAAGTAAGACACAGAAGGTCAAGTGGACTCCTAAAAGACAGTTACATACTAATGAAAGCCAAGAACTTACAGTGTGATGATTGATCTTTTCTGAAAAATCCCACCAACATGGACCATCAGCCCATGTCAGCTCTTTGGGTCAAGGACCATCTTTTTTGTTCTGTGTTTATACAGCATGTAGCACAACAGTGTCCTGGCCATGACTGGGGCTCCGAGGCTCTATGGTAATACAAAATAATAATAATGGATGAATGCCACCCTAGAAAAAGCAGATAAAATATGAGTAAATGTCATTTAAAAGAAACTACAAAGCTTGAAAGCTTGGCTTTTCCCCCAACAGAGTACAAGATATTACCTTACCCACCTTGTCTCTATCATGTAAAAGACATGTCATTTGACTATTATTTCCACATGTACAATTTTGGGAGGATTTTGCTGTGTACGCAAATATGAATCTCTTTGTGAATCTGTCAGAAGCAGTGTGTATGCCTGCCAGGCTGGGCCTGGGGAAAACACAGTGATGTCACAAAGAGAGTGGGATTCATTAGTTTACATAAATTTTTATTTTCATTACTAAGAAACACCACCAGACTAATATTGCTGTTAACTGAAAAATTAATCTGGTGCAAAACCTTAAAGTAATGACAAATAAATGAACTCATGCCAGGACTCCCCCTCTTTTAAAGTAATGTTACTTCTAAATTCTTGACTTTCTCTTCTAGGTGAACTGTACAGCCCCATGCAGCCATACTAACATTTTATTATTCTTACAAAGTAGTAAAGTACATGTCCAGTTTGAGTCATGCAGACATCAATAAAGCTGTAGCAATGGGGTTAAACACATGGAGTAATGCTGCCCCATTGAAATCTGTCAGAACAAACACAGGGGAAGCCGATTTGATGATATTATTTGAAAGTGGAGGTAAGTATTCAAACCACAACCACCACAATTAAGATCAAACACATCCCTGTATTGTTGTTAGAGGATAATACCTCTAACACCCTGAAATAAAGTGGGTAAAACTGTGAAAATCACTAGTTATTTGCTTGGAAAGATGTTTTAATTTGCACTAGACCTACAACGTAACATTATTCTGTGACCCTGTTTTATCTCACACTGTATAGTCTAGGTGAACCTGTATCTATGCATAGTACTTGCATTGAAGGGGGTCTGAGATCTTTTCCTAGTCTGGATGCATTCATTCCCCCATCTGGATGCAGCTAATTCATCCCCCTTCCAGAGATGTCTTTTAGAATCATAGAATATCAGGGTTGGAAGGGACCCCAGAAGGTCATCTAGTCCAACCCCCTGCTCGAAGCAGGACCAATTCCCAGTTAAATCATCCCAGCCAGGGCTTTTAGCCCTTGTTCGTACACATACTTGTACAAAGGAACTTTGGCCCTTTAGTAGACATCTGATGGGAGGTTTGTTTTCATTTCCTGAGGAAGGGTACTGGCGTACAGTGATTCTCCTTCCTTTTCAGTAATTTTTTCATTTGGACACTGGTTATGAGATCTACTGTAGGGACATAGGGCTGGGAAGGGCCTCGTGAGTCACAGAATCCAGTTCCTTGCTGTTGCAGGCAACCCCATCACATAACCCTGTTCATAAATTTAACAAGCTACATCTTCAACTAGTTAGGCAGTTTGCCGCCCCCTCCCCCCCCCCCCACACACACATTTATACTGGAAGGCTGTTCCACAACATCACTCCTCTGGTGGTTAGAATCCTTCATCTAATTTCCACCCTAAATTTTTTCATAACCAGTTTATACCCACTCTTCTTGTGCTGACATTGTCCTTTAGTTTAAGTAGCTCTTCTCCCTCCCTGGTGTTTACCCCTGAAGTATTCATAAAGAATAATCATGTACCCTTTCCGCCTTCATTTTGATAGGCTAAAGAAGCCAAGCTGTGTTAGTCTCGTCTCATAAGATATGGTCTCCATTCCCCTGTGATGTTCCAAGATGGGATTGGCTGACTCCACAGTAGATTTGTCAAAAGCCTGTGAAAGGGGAAACAAGCACGTTTTCCCTGACTGAGTTTCAGCCTATGTTGATCACTGATGGTGATAGGGGAGCTTTGGGCTGCAAAATGTTATCTGGATCCATTCCAAATTTACGATGGGGCTGGTAAAATTCAGGTTGGTAGAACCCTAACTTCCCTCAGAAGCTCTGCCTTTTTTCCCAGTTGGCCATCTTGCCTGTGCAAACTCAGGTACTGAGTAGTTAGGCCTGGGAACTGAGTCCTCCATTCCTCATATGTTGAGTTACATGCTCTATTTTCAGTGTTGCTATTAGCCCAGACCACTTTGGTTTTCACTTCTCCTTTTCCTAGAAGAACTGCAAAATGCGCAGCCTTCCACAAAGTCATTTCCATTTTGAAAGTTACTGTAAATGGCCTGTAAGTCATCAGCCTTTTCTGCGCCAGGGAGAGATTTGAAAAATTCCTCACTGCTTCGACCATCTGTTCCGTTGCTTGCAGTAAAAAAAGAGGGGAATGATCATGCAGAGGGAAAGCTTAAGAGTACTTATGAGGGAGAGCCATATTTATTTGACATTCCTGCAGTAACAAGATATTCACTTGACTTCAGACCAGACCAAGGCATTACAGTAGTATCTGAATGTTCTGCTGAAGCCCTGTTGGATTGTGCAGCATTTCTGTCAACCATATAGAGTACAGTTTCAATTGAGCCTAAGGGAGCTAAGCACACAAATGGCAGAATTTGGGTGCCTAACTCTCTTGGGCTCCTTTGCAATCCTATCCACAACCCTTGGTATGGTAGCTTCGAGTTGGAGCGTACAGGCAGAACACTTTCACTCTCTCCTGTCCATCCTCTTTTCTTTTTAATTCTTTTCTTTGATTTCATTGTCTGCCTTCTTTGGAGGATTTAGAAGATTTTAAGGAAAAATCAGAATAGGAACTGCAGCTATTGCAACTCCTCTCACAAGGAGACAGAGTAGCAGCTGGCTCACAAGAAGCCACAAAGCTACCAGGAAGCTAAGAGGAACTTAAAATGTAGCAAATCCCTTGATGGTGGTGTAACAATGCCAGCTTTGGTGGGACCCAACTGAGAGTACCAATTCAGGACAAATTGCTTAAAGCAGGGCAGTTACAGCCCAAGGCCAGGGTTTCTTTGCACACCAAGGCAAACCAAACCAGCCAAACAGAGAAGACTTCAGTTTTACCCCACTGCTAACCATAAGTCTCACAAGCAATTTCCTTCGACATTCCAGTTTCCCAGTACCACCACCAGTGCCACTCGTTAAGGGGATGAATGGTTATAAAAACCAATACCCCAGTAAAAGAAAAAAGGTTCTCCCAATCCCAAAGGACCAAGCCCCAGACCCAGGTCAATATATGAGTTAGATCTTACCCACAAATCACTCTGTTACCCATTCTTTAGAATCTAAAATCTAAAGGTTTATTCATAAAAGGAAAGAAATATAGATGAGAGCTAGAATTGGTTAAATGGAATCAATTACATACAGTAATGGCAAAGTTCTTGGTTCAGGCTTGTAGCAGTGATGGAATAAACTGCAGGTTCAAATCAAGTCTCTGGAGTACATCCACAGCTGGGATGGGTCATTCAGTCCTTTGTTTAGAGCTTCAGTTTGTAGCAAGGTTCCTCCAGAAGTAAGAAGCAGGATTGAAGACAAAATGGAGGCGTTTTCAGGGCCTTTCATATCCTCTGCCCTGTGGAAGATCACAGCAGCAAGATGGAGCCTGGAGTCACATGGGCAAGCCACATGTCCATGCATGACTCAGTTCTTTACAGGCCAACGCCATTGTTTACATGTTAGTTTGAAAGTTCCCAGGAAAGCTCAGATGTGGATTGGCGTTTCCCAAAGTTCATTGTCAGCCAAGTGTTTCTTGATTGGGCACTTTCTAAGAATAGTCCTTTCTTAAGAAGCTGACCAAATGCTTCACTGAGGCTTCTTAGAATCAAAACACCTTGAGATACAAGTACATAGCCAATATTGATAACTTTAACTACAAAAATGATACGCCTATACAGACAGCATAATCATAACCTTTCATAGACACTCTACTGGACAACCTTTGTACAATATTTGCTGCAACTATATAACAGTGGTTGCAACAATGATCTATATGGTCACAGTTTATGTCAATAACGTCACAGGTAGCAGCTGCCCATTTGAGAAAGATGTACAACACATTAGACTTAGGTCTGGGGCATCAGAGATGCAGGATAAGAACTCTCCTTGAAAAAAGGACTGATTCCCCCATATATGTTTATCCAGGAAGCAGTTACAGACACACACACACAATTTCTTACTAAAGATAAAACTTTCAAAGAATAATTCCTATTCATTAGATTCATTTGCCCCCTCCCCGCCCCATGTACAGTGTTGCTTGTGGTTGAGGCTAAGACAGAGAGTTGGTTGTAGAGTATGCAAAGAGGATTCTCCGTTGAAGCCACTGGTCAGACATGGAGCCTGAAGTCTACTCTGGCATTCTATTTGCCAGACTAAGGCCCTGATCCATCAAAGCACTTCAGTATGTCCCAATAAAGGCACTTGCATGCCTAAAAGTTAACCTTGAGCTTGAGATCTTTGCTGGATCAGGGTCTAACTAAATGCAGCCTGTGATGTTTCAATGCACCATGCAGGATCTCCCTAAGTGTTGGCCTGAACATGCGAAGAGCAAAATCTGTAGCACAGACAGGGCACTGGCATTGTCCATCCTAGCTCACACTATGTTTACATGACTCTGTGTAAATAACAGAAAGAGCCCATATTTTCAATATTTACAAGTCAAACATTTTATTGTGACATCTGGATATAAGATGGTTCTTTCTAGACCTTTAACCACATTTGAGGAGTTGACCCAGGAGCAAGTTGGAACGAAAGATTTAATTTCTAAGATATATACAATTTTGACTGAAACAGATGTTGATAAGAAAACAACACAGATGAAAAGATGTGATGGGGATTTGGACAAAGAAATTGATATATATGGGAAAAGGACATAGGTCTTCAATTTGTATAGCTCAAAGAATTTTTTTTAAAATTACTGTATTGAAGGCATTTCACTCCAGTTAAGCTTCATTATATATTTGCTGCTAGGGAGATGCTCTGTTGGAGGGCTTGCAGGGAAAGAGGGAACATACTTGTACAGGCAGTAGTTGTGTCCAGGAATTAAATGGTTTGGGGAGGAAATTATTAAAGAAATTCATCTTATGACAAAATACCAGCTTCCTGGAGATCCCCTGACCTGCCTACTTAATGTTCCAGTAACAGAGCTACATTTTAAACAAAACAAATTAATTTCTTGTTTATTGTTAGCATCAAGACTTTGTATTGCACATTATAGGAAACATGTGACTCCGTCTATGGTATTTTAGTGTAGTAAAATATGGGCTGTCCTTGTAATGGAAAAACTTTCATATCAAGTAGGTACACAGGAGAAGTGTCTAAAAGAACAGGTACTTAGAAATTTGCTCACCTGTTTTAGCATACTCAGAGGAGGTAAGCTCTCCAGCCAGCAAGCCAGAATCTTTAGCCAGGTTCTTTACATATTCAGGATCAGATTAATATTCAATATAGAATGTAGTATTGTGACTTCCCTTAATAAAATGTTTAAAAAAACTTGTGCCCCATCAGTAGTGCAGTAGGAGCGGATTTCTAGAAGATTAACAGAACTGTAAAAGCCAGGGCTAGAGACTGATCTGGTTACAACAGCACTAGAAGGCCAGGCTGAGCCAAGAACCTCAATATTTGGGAGGCAGGGCTCAATTTTATTTCAAAATTTTCAAAAAAAATTAATTTTTTCCCTCAAATTTCTGGAGGATTTTCCCTGCCAAAGGAAATTTTGAAAATCCTACTTGTCATTCCAAAAATTGAACAATTTTTTTTTCCAGAACTTTGGAATTTCTTATCGAATGGAAATTCAAACTTTTGA